GCAAAACAACAACTTTGCACGTGCATCACGCTTTTTTGTACATTTCTTTACCGTCCTTGCACGACTACGACGTGAAAATGCCTAATTGCAAGTTTTATGGAGGACATAAACAAGCGACGACGAATCTCTTTGTTTCTCTCTAAACTTGAGTGCGGTCCTCAAGAAATCAACTCCAGGGAAATTCACCTACACTTGCCAACTTCAGCAAATTGGAATAAACGCAACAAAGATTGAAAAAACGGGAATTAATTTTAAAACTGACGTTTTCGCTGCCGTTGCCGTCGTCGATGCTAAAGCTCCCTGATATGGGAGATGATTGAAGGTAGTACTAACGATCATTTCTTTAACATGCAGGATTTTTGTTACCAGAATCTGTGGCCTCCTTTGAAAGCTCTCATAACTGCACAGGGAGAGGCAGGAAAATCTTGTAAAGAAGTTTGCCTTTCCAAGGGTATGTCAGTAACTAAGCTCTTAGACTGGCTACAAGTCGACCTCTCATAAGTTCTTTAACCCTTTAAGCCCCAGTATCTACAAACAAATTCTCCAAACTGATCTCTATACATTTCCTTAAAGAATGAGTTGAGAGAATTTGTAAAAAGATCGAGGCATTTTTACTTAGGTGATCATTTTATTAATTCTCATAACTTATCTGTTGACAGTGTATGGATATTGTTAGGAGAAAATTGATCTTGGTCACTGTTGGCACTTAAAGGGTTAAAGCAAGCGAAGCTAGGTGCCATGATTCGTCGCTCGCTCGGTCGACTTGTTTCGCCTGATTGGATTTGAATCATATTATAAATTCAAGCGGGAAAAATGACTGACATGTGCTTTGTCGGGAGTGACGTCAAATATCACTCACTCTCTTATTGGTCAATTGTCATGACGTCACCAGTGGAATTTTCGACCGGTGAATTTCACACCAAACAGGTGTGAAAGTTCTTTACAATGGCATAACCAACCAGGAAAAAAATAAAGGACTTCTAGAAAGTCTACTAAGGTCTTTGTGAATGGTTTGGACCCTAGAGTCATGTCATAGTTTGAATACGTGCTCAAGTCATCATCCGAGGGATTCTGACTTCGTAAGCCTTGTCAAAACGTCTTTAGGGAGTTTAACCCTATCCACATACAAATTCTCCAAACTGATCTCTATATATTTTCTTAAAGAATGTGTTGAGAATGTGTTAAAAGATCAAAGCATTTTCTCTTAGGTGATCATTTTGTGAATTCTCATAAACTCATCTCATGACAATATATGTCTATCGTTATGAGAAAATTGATGTTGGTCACTGTTTGGTCTTTAAGGGTTAAGGTCTCGCAACGACGGCGACGAGAATGTCAAAACTGCAATAGGTTAAGATTAGAAAAACAACTTTGGCATGGGGAACAACATGAACACGACTACGACGTGAAATTGTCTTATGCGACCAGGGCCATTTCCGCAGAGGGTCTTAAAGGGTTTAACATTTGTTTTAAAATTATCTCTGTTTACAGGTATGGTTTGTGAACCAGAGTTTTTCTCCAAAATCAACTCACGAGACTCTCTAACGCAGTAAGTATTTGGTTACGAGGAGATCTGTCCTTAGTTTTGCTTGTTATTGACAATTTCAGCAATTTTGCTCGCCAGTTAGATATCACTGCGGGCTTTATTGAACCAGAATATGCATTCTTTTTTCTTTTGTTTTATCCTGAATGAAATCAAACTAAACAAATTGCACTTCAGTATATTAGAATGTCAGTGTATTTAACACGAAAGTGCTAATTTTGGGACACTATTTTCACGTCTCCAACTGGAGACGGGACCGCCAATATACGTGGTCGTCCGAGCCACGCGAAGGTCTAGCCGTTTTTATACGTTTGCGGGCAAAGGAAGTACCCATATTTTTTTTAGTTTTTTAGACCCCGAGTATGTGGTCTGACCCCGGGAATCGAACCCGCGACTTCCCGCTCTGCACTGAACCGCTTCATCGAATGAGCTAATCGTTTTATCTTTGTAGAGCTACGTCATAGTAAAATCCAACTAATGGTCTATTATCAATGCTGCGTTCTCATTGGTTGAGCTTCTACTAGGCTACATGTTACAGCCCACTAGTAGGGAAAAGCGCCGGCTTTGAAAACCAAAACAATGGCGGCTGAATCGCGTTTTGCTAGCTAAAGTTGTTTTATCTTGATATTTTTGACTAACTACTTGGATTTTACTAAAACAATTATTCCTCTCGCCCTCATGGCCTCCGAGTCTATTGACTCTATCCTCTGGGCTATTGACTCAGAGCCCATTCGGCTCGAGGACTAATTGTTAAAGAGACTGTTTATCGTTTGTGCAATAGAAATGGTTTTCCCTGTAACTCAAGCCGATTGGAAGAAGTACCGTCTCTGATCGCCCCAGGCTTCCGAAAGGAATCACAGGCCTGCATTCTTCAGACCCAGACCCTTCTCTTCAGCTGCACAGGAACGAGTCCAAGTACCATGCGCCTGTGCCCTTGTAGAAAGTACAAGAAAGGACAGGTAGCTCTCTGTGAAGATTGCTGACACTTGTTAGACCAAATTCTCCACGACGTTTCAATTCGCCACTTTAGAAAAGAGAAAGAAACTGGGTCGAGTTAACTTTCGCAAAGACGTCTGGGACTGTTATTCAAATGCCCACGTTCAATATATGAAAATTCTAACATGACTCTGAGGCTTTGTGGTCATTTTTCTATATTTGGTTTGGTTCCTTTGTGTTCAAGTCTCTTCTGGGAATTGCGAGACAATGGGATCGTGAAAAATTTGCAGTTTTGACCCTTGTGGAAAACACGAGTACACACCAAATAGTTCCGAAAATCTCACTAAGTTTAATGTCCACAATCCTTAGTCCTCAAGGTAATAACGAAAGCGAACAACAAAGTTTTTTCTGGGAACTTGATCAGTTTTTTTCGTTTTCGAACCACCAGGTCCGTAAAACTACTACTCAAAACGAGGCTTGATAAACATGACCTCATGTAACAGTCACGAATGTTCAAACGTTCTCAACACCCTAAAGCCTCGGAGTCATGTTAAAATTGTAATATATCGGACGTGGGCTATTTTTCCCTTGTCCGTAGTAACAATCCCAGAAAGTCAATTCGGCCAAGGTTCTAAAGTGGTGAATGATCTCACCAAAGATTCCACTCCAGTGTTCGTTTGTCGGAGTAGTTTTTTCCTCAGTCTTTTCTTGCAAGACGCTAAACAATGAACAATTTCTCACCATATGTAGCCTGCAAAAACGGCCATCTCTCCCTCTCCTAGCCACTAAGAGGGACGTCTGCTCCTCAGTGACAGAAATTCCATACCAATGAGGTAAATCAATCTTTACAGTCACGTGGTTCCAAGTGAAATGTTGTTCGATTTTATGCTTCTCACGGTCAATTATGGTAAAGTTTTGTGTTCTTCTGTGAACGAGCTCTAGCAAAACTCAAATGCCTCTCCTAAATAAGAACATACTCCTCGAATATTGACTGTTAGTAGTAGATTTGTCGCGTTTACATTTGACCTTTTTGTGACCTTTTGTATTTTTTCTGTCATTCGTAAACAATAGCTAAAACAATTTAATTACTACGTCGACCAATCAGAGATCCTGATTCCGGACAGAATTTACGTCATAAGTATGGAATTTCTGTGGCTGAGGTGCAGACGTCGCTTGTGGCGAAACATCTCAAGCGGCGAGGAGCGGTGTGAGACGGCTGTTTTCGCAGGTATCATAATACAATGTAGAGTTAAATAACTAGCACGCCCCCTGGTAGTAATTTGTCTTTGTATAAAGTGGCCAGTCGCCCACGCACACGGGCTGTAATTTATATACATAAAAATGTTCACGTATTCAGCGACTCAATATCCAGCAAAGCTGGGTAGTTTGAGCGTGTGTGTAGATAATATACGATCTGAACTTGCACAGTATGTTAAATAAGTGTAAATAAGTTAAAGGTTTTTTAATGTAAAGTTTACAATTTTGCACGTACGGGCCTTACTTTTAGAAAATATTGTTGAAATAGTTTTGTAATACGTTTCTTTGAGAGTTCGTCTCAGTTAGAGGTAAAATTGGTAAACCTTTTTATGCATTTCCTTTTTTGTTTGAATGTTAGTAGTATTTTGTTTCTGCCCTAAGGCGGTAGTGAATTTTTTTAAATTTATTTTTACGGAATTGTTATAACGATGCACGTCAAAAAATTTCTTTCACATTTATTATCATGACGTGTAAAGCTAATCTAATATAGCTGCATTTGCGCCACCGAGTTTGCCTTTGTACTGCAAATTGAAAAATATGACAAGCTTTTCCTTGGCGGCCAGAAGAGGAAAGAAATGAAAGCTTGTTAATGGAAGCTTGGTAGTGTAAATGGAGATAAAAACTCCACCAACACGGTTTCTCGTTTTGTAAACGTTGTTACAGGGAAAATTTTATTTTGAGTTAAACCAGTTACAGAAGGTAAGCGGGCTTTAATCTCGATCCCAGGGTAAACCGTGTGAA